TATCAAGAAACAAGACCCTCCACAAGTGTCAGACTGGAGCTGTTTATGGTCTTATAAGCTGACCTCCAAGCTTGTCCAAGCCAGAACTTAACTTCTGCAAATATGAGGGTAAACATTAACAAAGAAATAGACTACACGGGAATGACTGTTTTAGCCCTTTTACAGCTTTAAGAATGATGTTTGAAAAGAAATTGTGTTGGAGATCAAAAATTAATTGGGTAAACACCAGCTGACAGAATCAACTATTACCGACATATACGAACTGTAGAGTTGTCAACTACCTGATTGATCAAGAGTGTCCAGAGATGGCAAATGATTAGCTCCTGGATTGTTCTCCAAGTCACCAGGGTAGTCTGGAGGAGGGAAATTCATGGCATCAGGTCCTGCACTTGAATAACGCTTTAATGACTTGTGACCAGCGTTGGTCTCTAATGGAGGACGAGGATGCAATCCACTAGCAGGCAATGTATGACTTACAGTGGGACTACAAAAAGAAGGAAGTAATACAATAAATAAAAGGCAATTAGTTATTATTTTCTTCTATGCCCCTGTGCATGATAATTTGTCTCAAGGGTTCGAGCATTGGCTCAAAGCATGTGTTACCACAGTACTTCTTGTTCTCTTAAGCTTCCACTTCAAAGGATTACATGGCAACCTCTATGGAAAGTCATAATTTGAGCTTGATGTAAACTGCATCAGATCTTGGCAAGCACATATCAAAGTCAGGCATATATTAGTGTTTTTCAGGCCACTTGCAATGTTTCTTGAAACACAACGCTCTGAAACTACAGTGAAATTCTTGATTGGCCACCTTAGGGGTCTATACTAAAAAAATTGGACTTTTCAGGGAACCAGCCAGAGCTTTCCCTTTCATCATGGACCAGTTTGCCATGTAATAAATATTATTATATAATTATGTAAAACTTTACGATTTGCTATGATTAATAATTACTGATCTGCAACCTTGTTTGAAACTTACCCAGTTGTAACAGCAAGAACTTGCTCAGTATACGCAGCTGGAAACCAGCCAGATCTGCGATTAACATAAACACAAGTTGAAATCCCCAATAAACTATCAGTATGATGGAAGTCCTTGCCATTTTTGCAAAAAGATTCATTACCTAATGAATATTTTATCTTACACTTTAGAGTAACTTGCATTCATGAACTCAAGTCTACAACTCTTGAATAATTTTTAAGCTATCAGAATATTATTTCACATTATTCATTAAGCACTTGATTAGTGTACAAAGAAAACTAAAAGCTTGACATCCTGCACAGAATTATCAGATGCTGCAAATAAATAACATGAATTGCTGTGTGAATTTCCTGCACCAGACTGTACATACCTGTTAGTTTTCAAGTTTTCTCCATACTGCCATCCCGACACCACTTCACTAATAGGATGTATTAAATCACCCTAAAGAAGGATGGGATGAAAATTATGTCAAATTTCTCTCAAATGACTACAAGTAAAACTATAACCATAAAATAATATTATTGATTTTTTACATTAATCAGGGGCCTCATTAACATTTTCACCAGGAGGTCAACTGGTTTTCACAGGCAGATGGATTTATTTGAGATCGGAATAAGGCTAGGAGTATCATTAAGAAGTCATTCTGTGTGAGATAAATCAACTGTTTTGAATGTTTACATCTTTTGAATATTAAAAACGGTAGCGGCCTAATTCTACTGGAAGTCATTATTGAGAGCCAATCGACTACACTCAAATCATTTGAATTATCCTGTTCATGTAAATCAGGTTCGTCAGGAATTAGTATGAGGCTTAATAGAAAAGTCATTTTATTCAAATTCCAACTTGCTTTAGGGCAACACATAATCACATGAAGACAATAAATACAATGCATTTTAATCAATGATCACTTTCTATTTCTGACTCTTATCTGTTATATGCTTGTCCTAAACAAAGCTAAACTTCAACTGTATTAAATTTTGGGTGGCCACATCACAGAGGTAGGGACAATGAAAAACTCTCATCAGGACGGCCAAAGGGTGCACCAGTTAATAGGGGTTTTACTTCCAGTATTTTACTAACAACAATTTCAGGACTTTAATAACTGGTTGCTTAACAGGGGTTCAACTGTAATTAAATTTCATACACATTTCTCAAGGGAACATCTTTAAAATGTGCTCTTGCATCAAATGTAGAACATGAACATACCACTTTAAAACTAAGCTGCGACATTTCAACTGCTGTGTGGGCAAAATTTGCTCTTAGCTTCATTCTACAAAAAGAACAACATTAACATCTTATCACTATGCACAAACAATAATTTTAGATTTCGACAATATAC